CAATACATTATGATACAATACAATACAATACGATACATTATGAAACAACACGTAACAACCCTCCAAACAAAGTGTTAGTATCGTATGCCACAGTTTTTTCCTGAGTATATCTAAATATTCAATGTTTGATAATGATTGATGTTTACAGATTCAATATTATTTGGCATTTGATTCATGATTGCCTTATAAGATTATTTAAGCCTTTAAAAATGTAATACCAAGATTCATTTCCTTTTTCTCTAATTTGAGAATTTTTGGAATTAATTAAAATACAAAGTCTATATTACTTTCGGAAAAGGGCCTAAAAAATCCTCGAAGTATTAAAAATGGTACACAACTATCCCTCATCCACCTATTAGCTCCCAAATACCCTCCTCATCCACCTATTGGCTCACAAATATCCTCCCCATCCATCTTTGGGTCCAATTTTAGACACTTCATTAACAGAGCACCATTTAAAATAATTAAATAATCCTTTTAATTGCGTGGCGCTCAACCATTGGTTGAAATTTAATTATTTAATATAATTTTAAACCCACCCATTTTTAACTAAACCCGCCCGCCCCAATTCAAAAAGAACCCAACTAATAAAAAAGAACCCTAAAACCTTCGTTCCCAAATTTACACTCCATCTTCCAAACTGAATCACTCTCAGATGACACATCTTCTTATTCCATCATAGACATAACTGAACTGACCCAATTGAATCTTATCACTAGCCATTCCCCAAATCTTCAATTAGAGCATTACCAGAAAAAGATACCAAATTGAAAAACTTTCAAGATTTCACAAAGGAGTTGGGGAAATGGAGTGTAAATTTGGGAACGAAGGTTTTGAGTTTTTTTTTATTAGTTGGGTTCTTTTTGTATGGGGCGGGCGGGTTTAATAAGTATTGGGGCGGATTTTGTTAAAAATGGGTGGATTTAAAATTATATTAAATAATTAAGTTGCAACCAATGATAGAGTGTCACATAATTAAAAGGATTATTTAATTATTTTAAATGGTGCTCCGTTAATGAAGTGGCTAAAATTGGACCCAAATTAAGGTGGATGGGGAGGGTATTTGAGAGCCAATAGGTGGGCGTGGAGAGTATTTGGGAGTCAATAGGTGGATGAGGGGTAGTTGTGTACCATTTTCAATACTTTGAGAGTATTTTAGGCCCTTTTCCGTATTACTTTTTTACAACAAACTGAACTTGCCTAAAAATGCATTTTTAAATTTCTTATATATATAGTATGCAATTGCACATGAACAAATTTAACCAATACACACTTGAAAAGTAGCGATTGTGAAATTTCCTAAAGTGTTCAAAAGAAAAAAACTACATAACGAGGTTATAGTGGTTAAGGGATGACTTTTGTAAGATTAAAGGGTGAAAATAAAAAGGAAATTGAACGGAGAAGTGATAATGAAATAAGTAAGATCCTTTCCTTCTTAATTAAAGATCTAAGATTTTAATTTTTTGACGGAGAAATCTTGGTCCGTTAATGGGCCATAAGTGATACTAATTTAAACTAATCAGGTCAATGTGAATGCTAAATAATTATACATAAAAGGGTTTTTTCATGATTACCTAAGTGAAGCAAATTGTTTACCTGCCTGTACGCGATTATAAAATTCTCCCTTTAGAACATTATTATATTGTGATAGTTGTGTGTCATGTACAACTTTGGGTTATACAATTTACATTTTGTATACCTGAATGATATATAATATTAAGAATAGTTAACATGTGAATCTTGCCTTCTCAAGGTATACAACCACTATTGGAAAAAAAAAGTTATAGACAAATTCTATAGCTTATCCTAATCAATGATTTCTTATTAAAATTTAATGTTAGATACAAGCAATTTAGCGACAGACAAATTAGTAACAAAATTTATAGCTAATTCTAGTTTGTTGTTGTTTTTGTATACGTGCATGTATGTTTGGGTATTTTGTAAATATTTTTCTATAAATAGGTATGAAGTACTATTATACATTTTAAAATGGACGTTTCACATTGTTTTTTAGCCGCCTGAATACACTGCATAAATATCTTTATAATGCCACCAATAAATATCGAATACTGAATTATTAAAACAAAATAAAGGAGAAGTTTTCATGTACTTTACTCCATTTAAAAAAAAAATTCTCACTCGATTTCAGTATCCACAGTGGAGTTCGTGTCGGAAAGTTCCACGTTAGTGGTAAAGTGTTCCCTAACAAAGACAACTCCATACTCAAGGAGACTCGAATTTGAGACTTCTGATTAAGGATAAAGAAGTATTTACCACTCCATCATAACTATCGTTGGTTACTTTACTCTTATCTTTAATTTCATTTGTTAGTGTCACTTGTGTAATAGTGCATTTGCCCAATTATTTTGGTTGTGAATGTGATGGAGATGATTATAGTAGCAAGTAGGATCCTTTTAGATTCTTGGCCAGCCAGAATATACATAACATATAGGATAGTATATAGTAGTACCTACTTGTCCAGTACATTCACTCATTTCATTTGTTAAAAGTGACTACACAATCGTAGGCAAAGCAATAATTGTTTTTAATGTTGGTCCATATTAATTGTATATTCTTAATGTTAGTATCAATAAACCCCATCTGGCTTAATCTGTCACATTATTTGCCTAATTAACAAACGTGTTCATATGCCTTGATTTTGACTTGTACAATAATCCAACAAGAAGTAGCCCACTGATCCTTACCTACTGGCTACTGCTAGTATAATTATATAATACATAAAAGTTAAATTACTTTAAGAAACTACAATAGGAATATTTTTTAAAAATAAAAGAGCCAATAAGAAGTGGTCTAAATCATGTTCCACAATTACGACTTTTTCGCTGTGCAACTTTGTCTAATCATGCTTTCGTGGCATTTCCGTCTTAATGTATGTGGTATGATTGTGATTTTTAAGTGTTAAATATTGAGCAACTTTCATATTTAGCAAATATAAAAATAATATTTGTATGTTATAGCTATAGTTTGCATAATTGCGCTTCATAGTAAACTTTATGTTTGCTATGGAACATCAGATTGTATAAATCGCTGGGGGCATCAGATTTGTATAAAATCGTTGCCTCTCATTTGTATAAATCGTTGGCAGCCTCTCAATTCAATTTTATGTTTTTGTATATCTGCATAAAATTTGAATTTGTATACAATTGAATCGAAATACATCGTTTGTATATCAAATCTCTCTCTCTCACTTTATACAAACACAAATTATACATTGTATTTTGTATAATCTGTGTTTGTATAAAAGCGAGAAAGAGAGAAAAGACAAAAGAGAACTGGGCAGGGGAAGACTTGTATTGTATAATTATAAGTGTATATGACGAAGATATATATATTTGCATGTGTATATACAATTTTCTCTAGCTTTATACAAACAGAAACACAATTTATACATTTGTGTTTGTATAAAGTGAGAGAGGTGAGGGAGAGACTGGCGAGCAAGCGAGAATTTCAGGGAGAGAGGCGAATGACAACAGTTTGCTACAGGTTACGATTAAATCAAACTGTGGTTATAACATTTAATTTGAATTAATAGTTTGCTATTATATACAATTTTCCCTTAAATATTTAAGTGACTAAAAATATCTTATTAAAGATAAAATACAAATTTCAAAGTTAAGGAGTTTTAGACTTTTCAACTAATTAATCTGGAATTGTTTTAGTTATACAATGTTGAATTATTGTATTTTGGAGGAAACAAGTCAAGAGCTATATTATTGGATTGGTTAAATTATACCCAGTATGCACTTAAATTTTATTAAAAAGACCTGAATATTTATCTAATCATTTTTTTTAAAATTTGTCTAATTAATGATATATTCACCAATAAATAAAATAATAATAGAAATTAGTGTGGCTATAAATCATTTCATTAAGGGTAAAAATGAACATTTTAAAGTTAAATTGTTACTTAATATAAAATGTGTCATTCTTTTTGGAACAGAGTAAAAAGAAAAGTAAGTCATATAAATTAAAACAATAGATATGAATTTATAGTTCTAAAAGTTTGAAATCATAAAATTTAAATCTTAAATCCACTCTAGTTTCGACTTCACCTATGACTTATGTTCTATTTTCCTACAGTTGATAAGTAGATATGCCTATTTGAAAAGTCGCTATAAATACATACAGTATATGTTGAATAGACACTGACGTCAAATTGACACTGCTAGGAGGTGTTTGGCCTTTTCACTTCCTTTTTAAAAAATTAAAAATAAAATAAAATAAAATTCCCCTGAACTATTTTATGAAAAAATGATACAATTGATTGCAGCCAATTGCTTCGAAGGGGCATCTTACATAGATGAATAAACTAAATATTTTTGTCACTTTCACTCTCTTTTTTGAATAACTATTTACTCCCTCCGTTCCTAATTATATGTCATATTTATTATAAATATATGATCCATAATACTTTTCATTTCATAAAATCAATGCATAAACTATAATATTTTTCCTATTTTATCCTTGTGAGTTATTATCCTTGAAAATATATATTTGAGCAACATTGAAAATTTGGTCAAATTAATTAATCAAAATAAATTAATTCATATTCATTGATTGAAAAATTGACTACCAAAATAAATAAATAAGAATAAAATAATAAACTTAATTAATTTCTTAATGCACGTAAAATAAAAAATGGCGACATATTAATAGGAACTGAGGGAGTATCTTTTAAGTAGTATTTATTTTCTTGTGAGCAGGCATGACGTGGAACTGATTATGATCTTCACATAATCACAGGATAATTTATAGTCCTCAAAAAACAACGCACTGTACTAAGCTGTAACAAAATCTTTATATTATGACAAAATATAAAGAAAAAAGGAATAGTACTACAATATGATAGTTAATTTCTGCATGGTATAATATGTCTTCAATTTAATTTTTAGTTAATGATTTGATTTCATACTGTACAAATGTAATTTTTTCATTTTTAGTTGATTTGGCTTTAGAAAAATTGAAAATTACAAAAGAAATAAATAAAATGGAACCACGTTTTTAGATATAAATATTGTTTTCATTTGCAAAAAGAAAATGAAAATTTACAACAATACGTTTTCTATTAATTTAGACTTTTCTTAAATTTTAGTCTAACTGTTTAGTTTTCTTACATAGATTCATAGTCTGTACACACAACCTGCACATAGCACACAAAATTCAGGCACATTCATCATGATTTATCCCGGATCACGACATAATAATATAGCGCATATCAGAGAAGAGAGTACCCGACAGACCCCATTCACTTAACAGTTAACACTATGGTGGTAAATGAACGGATTGACCTGCAAAATAAATTTCTTATAGTGTAATAATTAGGATATCATTTGTATTGCATTAAGAAAATAACATCTTGAAACAAAGAAGAGAAGTAGCAGATAGAATAACGAGGAAAACCCACTAATACCCCATACCTGGTAGCATGAGCTTCTCATTTCGGTAACAAGTGTAGAGACAAAAGCAGATTCATGGCTTTACACGTCCAGCTCTGCCTTGACGTTGCCTTGCATTTGCTTCAGATATCCAATCTTCAACCAAGCTTGATAATTTCTAAAATCAATAACTTTATGCAGTAGAAAACATGATTACTGGTACAAAAAGCAAAGGGAATTGACATTTCTTTAAACGAAACTCATAAAAGTTCAATACATGTGTGGGCTGAAACATATCTTCTGGACCTAGTCATAGCCAACTATAGACAAATATTTTTCTATCCAAATCGAAATGCTGAACATATCTCACAGTCAATTTCTAATTCTAATACCAAAATCCAAATATGAGTCAGAGAGCAAACTTAAGATTGGAAATGCATCCATGGTTACATGCACACATTTTTTAGAGCAGTACTGCTAGGCAGCAGCTATTATCTAGATGGAGTTGCCATAACACTGGTATTGCAAGTCAGAGCTTGAAAAGTCTAAAAAAGTCCAATTACTAGTTCTAGTGAAAGGCAACTTGCAAGCCCAGGCATATGTTCAATTCAAGCATTTTCTAGGGGCAAATCATCAAAATGAATTCCTGCACTACAGAGAGAAACAACAATTTACCATCTTCCAACATTACTCTTTTTTGAGGAAGTAAGTAGAATTCATTGCTGGCATCGAGAACATGCAAAGAGTTACAAACGTGAGGAATTGTCAGCTCTGATACAAATAGAAATTAAGATGCTAAAGAGCTGACAAAACTCGAGAAGTGTTCAATACTAGTGACAGGAGTTAGTTTACACCAGCTATATAAAGATAATAAGCATTTAGCCTTCAGGGAGTAATTACTTGAATTAATTGTGTTCAGACAGTGACGCATATTAATAACACAAGACACTGAATAACCCACTCATGAAAGAGAACAGAAAAGCACAGAGGGGAAATGAACCCAAATTGAAGATAGCATGCATTCAATGGTGAATCAGAAAAGCATAATGTCTACAATGAAAGAACATGCGATTGAATAGAAAATATTACCTTACCGATGTTTTCTGGAGGTCTCATAAATACTTTTTCCTGATGCTACAGAATAATCCATTCAAAAGATTGTCCACTAAACTGAAAGGAGACAGACAGTCTATCGAGTTAGGTGTGTATTTCGGAAACCCCCTTCAGCAGAACACAATTCACAAGTCAATATTCCTTTCTTCTGCAGGCATAAAACTTCGAAAGAGAATTAAAACATAAATAAGTATTAAATTGATGAATTTACCGGTAAGAAAAACCAGTATAGTACCCTCAGGGTATGTTTCATCAATGTAACATACCAGGTCTTTGAGAAGATCATAATCCACAATGTCTTCATTCAATTTCCTCTGACATAGTGAGAGATGGTTCATCACAGTATTCTTTCAGTTAAGTTTTTAGGATCTTAATTAGCATCACTGAAAACTACTTTTAAGAAGCAATCACCAATTTTTCTTTTGAGTTTGTCCACTGTAATTTTGATAATTACTGGAATCATAATGGGGATTTATGTAAGCAATGATTCATCACCCAATGCAGAGAGGACAAGGTTCTTTTCCCCCCTATGATTGCCAATAGGAGCATTCTGCACGCATACAATTGGAATGAAATAAGAAGCTCTTGAGCTACATAAAGAAAAAGCTAACACACTGAACTTCAAGTCAATAAGGAAGATCTACTTTAACTGTAAGCCAATACCAAAGCAACACTCATGATTGTTTGTCAGGATCTATTCCTAACTAATAATTGATTTTGATCAGAAATTAGTTCAGCTAAAAGTAAAGATTGGTATAACAGAAGACTTTAAAACAGAGCTCCAAAGATGAAGCCAGAAATTGCCAACGAGAGCACATCTGGCAAAGAAACACAATTTCAAATTTCAGTCTATCTAAAATGACAATAATGGCATGTTAACTAAAATACCTTTTCCCTAGTAGATGTCCCATAACTTAAAGAATCAGGAGAATCATATGCAAGGCGGTAATTGATACTCTCATAAATTTCCTTGAGAAAATAAGTTGAAACAGGATGTGTTCGGCCTTGAGCAGTAATTACAGGGCAGTGACCAAAGTAATGAGAAAACAAATGTGAATCTACTGTGGCAGACCTAAATAACATGTAAAACAAAAAAACAAATTCCTCCATGAGCAGTCATAAATATAAAAAATGAAACAGAACAAGATAGTGGCGGCAAGATATTGATGAACAAAACCAACCATACATGAGCATTAACTTTGAGTTGTGCCGTACCAAGGGCTGATTGCTTCTGGATGAGACTCTTCAAGACAATGAGCAGAAAACCACCCTGGTTCTAAAAGAGGTTAGTGTTTCTTCCAACTGGTTTCCAAATATATCCAGTAACATACAACAAAGTAGAGGAAGAACCAGAGATTGCCGGTATATAAGTAGACTACAGCAAGAAGTGTTATTTCCCTCTTCAATTTGATGGTCCTAGTCATCTAGAGAGTAGTGGGCAGATAAAAAGAGGGTCTCGTGAAAATGAAAAATGAACCATATCTGATCTCTAAAAGAAGATGAGAACAGTGGCACGTAACTATCATAGACACAAAATATCGGGATTTCAGAATTAAATGAATGTAACAAAAGACAAGAAAGGAAGTCGTCCTTTGTGTTACTAGAATTAAGGGCATATAATGGGCTGTCCACAGCAAGAGCATTCAGCAATTGCCTATAGCTGCAACAATTTGCAGAACGAGGAGTGAGACATCAAAGCTAGATTTTCAGATACAACAAGGAGTATAAGCATCTTGCTAACGTCTCAGAGTCAGACTGTCATGGAGTCTAATAAATACTGGCAGCTAAGTCAGGAAGCAGCTTCGCTGTGTGCCTAAATTTGGAAGCAATAGCACTGGTAGTACACCAACCAAATGACGAAAAACGGAAGGGCTTCTGAAAGAATGTGAAGCAGCAATTGAACAGTCCTTTTCTCAATCCTCCTAATGCCCAATGAAGTATTAGTCATTTGATTACTTCCTTCCAGAATTCATGACCAAGTGCAGTTCTTCCAAATTTGTCAAAATAATAATTCTCAATATGCTTTTTTAATAAGGTAAGTAATGATATCAATGATGGGAAAATCGTAAAAAAAGTAGTGAGACCTAGATCAAAATATGGTTCTCAAAGAAGTAACTTAGTCCTCTATACATACAAGAACCATATCTATGGTTCTTGGTAAAATCATATTACTGTAAGCTGTTATAGTCAGTATGGATCAGGTTTCCTGCACTTGTCAATTTGGATTCACAGGTGCCAACAAAGGTAATCAATTTACTTGGTTTGCAGCAAGAAAGAACAATAACATGTCAGCTTGCGTTTGATGTGCAAAAAATGAGTGAAGACATAAAATAATCTCCTTTTGCATTTATCAGATGACCAACTCGCCTGTGGTGAGAGATATTAAGATGGTTCGAGATGCTACAGATGACGACCAAGCCCAGTTAAAGTGGCACTATTTAATTGGGCCTTTAGAGATGACAAAGGGCATGATATGTTGCCCCACTAGCCACTCATGTGGGTCTTATGAAAAGAAAGAAACACGAGACCATTTAAAAAGAGAATAGTCTCTTATTTGTTGTCTCTTTTATTCCTCTCTCGATGAACCCACAAGGTTTCAATTTGTAGAAAAATTGGGTGGTTTTTGGGAGATCATAATCTATTGTAGGATCTCCGCATTTTGGTACTGTTAGAACATGAATAAGTTTATACAATCTTATTAGAATAGGAATATGTTTATACAACCCTATTTAGAATAGGAATAGGAATACAAATACAAATAGGAATAGTAAATAGTATTCCACTTGGTAAAGGATTGTATTCTAGTGTCTATAAATAGGGTCTCTCTTTAATAATGTAGACAACAACTATTCAATAATATTATTCTCCTATATTTCTCACATGGTATCACAGCCTCTACAATCTTGGTAGAAAATCAAAGAGCTTCAGTTGCCGGCGGGCGGCTATTACTCATATATGCCGCCCGTCTGGCCAACAATTATGTTAGCAAAAGTTGGGTCATCGTGTATCTTTTCTGTGACTATTTTCTCATATTTGATTTATGTAAGGACCGTGCCATTATTCCGATGACTACTTTCTTATATCTAACTTGTAGCACTGTGTCATCTTTCCGATGACTATTTTTTCATATTTAATTTGTGTAGCACTGTGCCATCATTCCAGTGACTACTTTTTCATATTTAATTTGTGTAGCACCGTGGATTTTTCCAAACTATTTTCTCATATCTGAGTTGCATAGCATCATGTGTCTTTTCAGTGATTCCTCATATTTGATTTGCATAGTTTCATTCGTCTTTCCGGTGACTCATCATTCCAATCCTACCCGTATAATTTCTCTTTTTCAGCAGGGTCGTGCCATCATTCCGACCCTACCCATATTATTTTTCTTTTTTTCTAAATTGATTTTTTTTTTTAAATTGAATTATTTCTCTTTTTCAATAGGGCGTGCCATCAATCCGCCCTTTCCTATATAATTTTTATTTTCTAGTTGGGTCGTGACATCATTCCAACCCTGCCCATATAATTTTATTACTTAGATTGTGACCACTTTTAGGCATCAAATCTAATACTCCGGCATATGAGCATGTTCCGGTCAGTTTTTTCGGTGACTTATTTTAATATCGACTCATCTATTGATTCCAACATGATTCATATACTTTATACTAGATTTTGAGCACTTTGTTGCTCAGGGGGGAGTTTAGTAGCCTTTGTATGTCGATTATGTGAATCTATGGTCTGAAATAGTCTTTGCAAGTTTGGTTTGGGAAGTTTAACGCTGTAATTTTATCACTCTGTGTTTTATCGACATTATGCATCAAATTTAGTATTTCATGAGAAGATTAAGCACATTGAGATTGACTGACATTATGCATCAAAATCCAGTATTTAATGAGAAGACAAGCACATTGACATTGACTGTCAATTTTGTTGAAGTCGGCTGATCAACTTGCAGATATCTCACCAAGCCCCTCATCAGTCCTCGTATTAATTACATTTGTAACAAGTTAGGTATATGAATTGTATGCACTAGTTTGAGGGGGAGTGTTAGAACATGAATAAGTTTATACAATCTTATTAGAAGAGGAATATGTTTATACAATCTTATTTAGAATAGGAATAGGAATACAAATAGAAATAGGAATAGTAAATAGTATTTCACTTGGTAAAGGATTGTATTCTAGTGTCTATAAATAGGGTCTCTCTGTAATAATGTAGACAACAACAATTCAATAATATTATTCTCCTATATTTCTCACAGGTACATTGTCTGTGTATGAGCTATTTCCCATCATATCAAAATTATATACGTTATCAGAAAACAAAATGGAGCATGATTTAGTATGGACATAACCAATTTATCATGATGGATACTAATTGAGACTATGTCAGGCATTTCACTGGTTTATCTTCTCCTTTTTCCTCAAACTTTTAACTTGTCTAACCAACCAGACAACAATGGTCTATATCTAGTCGGACACCATTAGTAGGTACCTGATGTCATAAGTATCAGCATAAGAGAATCTAAAAAACATGCTTTCATATTCACATGGTCAATTTTTGACAGCCTGATCTATTTTACAAACCAGTAATGGAAATTAAATATACTTGGTCGCCACACTTCATAAACACATGTCATGCAGTGCACAAAAAACTCACCAGAAGTGACTCGCATGCACTTCATCAACAATGATATGACTAATACCAGCCAAGTTTTTATTTCCCTGCAAAATATCACATTTAGTTGCACCAAAAGATATTGGCCAATATTTTGACATTCTGTCGGGTTTTTTTTAAAAAAAAAACAGTAAAGTGGAAAAGTATGTCATTATGACAAATAAATTCAAAACGCAGAACAGTGCAGTCAGTAAGCATGCAATATAATTAGTAGGCGACTTACTGAAAACATTCTCAGAAGAATGCCAGTTGTACAAAAGAGGAGCTTTGTTCTCTCATTCCTGAAAGAGGATAAATAAATTAATAGATGATATTTTGATTTAATAATCATAAGTTCACAAGACAATAACAGAATCATTATCATATTTCAGTATTAATGATGATTATAGTTTTTAAAGCACGAATATAAAAGGATACTTATTCTGGTTAGACCACTGATGGGAAATTCCTATGTCCGTATATGATAACAACGAGACCCATAAAAAGCTAAGTGAAAACAGGTTTGCAGTGCTTAAGGAAATCTAAGGGAACAAACTCAGCAGGAATAATTAGATATTTGACAAAACAAAAGCAGATTACAGTGGGAGTTGTAAAAGTAGCAGCAGAGCATTGATGCACAAAATTGGCTATCCATGTGAACCCAAGTATCATAAAACTTAACACCTAAATCCTTCCATTTCTCAGATCCAATGAGCAATATTTTATTTGTAATCCTACTCCTCCCATGGGTCATGTCATGTATGGTAGACCTGATTAAAACATGTTTAAGGTGATTAAATTAAATGATCATGCACAAACTAAGTGAAATGAGAAAGCAGAATCCATACATCCAGCCACAGAGATAATTGACTAGTTTTACTAAGCACTGGTAGCTTTGCTGACAGTAAAACGGTAATATAAATCAATTTCCAGACAAACAAATTTTGAGTCAACATGACATCCAATTTAATGATTTTGTATCCTTTTTTTTTTGGGACAAGTGATTCTGAATCCATTTATAAATGACATCCAATACCTTCCACTATCAAGGCGAACTTGGTAACCAACCAAGGACTCACTTGAACCTGGTGAAGATTCACAACGCTCATCAGCAACTCTTTCAGCCACAGAAGTAGCCTAGCAACGATAAAATGAAAATCAGCAAATCTTTTTGTTAAGTGAGAGAAAACCTATATTTGGTGTAAAGAGCAAGAAAAAAGCATTGCCTAATGACATCTCAACAGAAGTGAAGAGGAAGAGCCTCCAATCTCAGCTAAGCTATTGCAGAAAACCTAAATTAGCAAGAAAAAGATAAAGAAAAACTATCTGATTTAATTTCTAAATTCCATTTACGTGTTCTTCTAATATGATTGGTTACTTCGTTTAATATGGTAGGAGATCCAATATCCAAGAGTTCAACTAAGCATTGTCCTTGATGTGATACACTTATTCTAAATTGCTATTTATTTTTGTAACCATTGCATCTTCTTGATGCCAATCAATGAACAACTTACTTTATCAAAAAAGAAAAACCTACAGGGACAAATAGTGTAGATATAGCTAAACATATTCAACTGCTATCTTACAAGAAAAGAAGGGATTAATAACAAACTCCTATTTTGATGTGAATACATACAATTCCCCCTATTAGGGTATATTTTACACCCACAATCTGAAACGTTGTGTAACGACCAAACAGTAAAACTGCCAGTATCATTAACTTCTCTTTCCTTTCTTTCTTATGCACTTGCGACAAATGCAAAACAGTATCAAGAAAGCATTAGACGTACCTCAACAGTAGAAGAAGCATGATCCTGACTAGGAAGTTCGATTTTACTAGCCCTCCAGCTTTTCTGCTCTTACCCCTCCCACTGGTTTTGTGCATTCTACTAACTGATTAACTTGAAATATTTCCATTTCCAGGTACTTTCGCATATTTTGGTTCCTCCCACCCTGATCTTTGACAAAGTTGTTGAAGAAAAACCTTTGGAACTTTTATGGATCTCCCTGCAATTATGCCAACAGTTATAACATTTTTAGGGAAAGAACAACTTAGGAACAAAAGCAAGAAGACCTCAAGAAGAAAAGGGACGACACAAGTCTACCATGGTTCACATTTTGCATCACATATTGTTAATGGAGGGGGTGGTTAAACTTCACGCTGCAGACCAGGTTCATACAGGCTCATCGTAGATTAACCTTCTTACCAGTATCAGTTTTTACCTTAATAAAAATATCAGTTCTTTTTTTCTAAAACAGTAATTTTTGCACCAGCTTGACTATTCCAGGGATACCTGCTACCTCCCATTTACACAGGCACTGGATAACTCAGCACACCGAGGCTTAGGCAGATTGGAAGAGATCACCTAACTTTTTCTGTCTTGGAATTTGAACCTTGGTCTGCAAGGTATCTACCAACTTCATTAAAACCGTTAGGCCATACCCTTTGGTGAAATAACACTATCGGTTGTTTCAAAACTAATAAACATAGAGAAAAGTTAAACTTATTCTGTCAAAGTAACTACATAGAAAAGTAAATCAGTTGAAACAAACTTCATTCACTTTAAGAGGTTACCTTATTTAAGTTACAACTACAGACCAGACACTTTTATCCAATTGTATCCCTCTTTATACCAATAGAGGAGCTCCAAATTTTCTTTGTTTTTTAGGTAACTAAAGAGGTGCTCCAGATTATAGTCTGCAGTGAAAGTTTACAACCAACTCATAAGATCAGGTACCAAACTTTTACCTTTTTCCATATACCTTCCAACTTCTCCAAGTTTTTCTGACTACATAATTCTCTCATCTTCTCTTTCTTCTTGCAGTTCTAGTATAGTAGCCGAAACATCAGCGGAGGAACCTTCTTCAAATAAGAAATCATCAAGCTCTACAGTTCTCCTCCTGAAGCCACCTTGCAATCTATAAGAATACTTGATGGATTGTTTTCGGTGAACTCATTAGAGCTGTTATTGACAGCCACTTCGTCCATCCCTGTCTCATGTTCATGAATATTGGACGTTCTGAAATTGTGTGAAGTAACATCATCAAGCCATCCAAGAATATAAACCATATATCTACTCCATCTACCAGCCCAACCTAAAGCCTGAACATACTACAATGAACTGGACAATGGATACAGTAAAAGGAAACCCTACATCATCAGATAGTCATGACTAAAGAGGCTGTGTGACACAAAGCAAGTGAACTGATGATTTATTAGTGTAGAAACACGGAAAAAGTTGCCATGAGATTTACCTGCTCTAGGGAACCATCGTCAAAAAAACCAGATCTCCAACTTTCAGCTTCATCCTGCAAATACATATTAAAAAGAAGAATGTATAGACTCAGCGTTGCACACTTTGAATTTCAGTGGCTTTTAGATTTTTAATATTGGGCACTTCAAGATTAAAAACAGAGAATTTGTTTGTTATTGAAATGGGATTAAAGATAGATTTTGAGGAAGTCTAGCCACCATAAGTCAGGACTCGTGCCCTAATTACTTTTTTGTTTTTTTTTATGAAATGATGTGTTTCATTAATGGTATCAAAAGGATGTGAAAGTCACAAAGATAAGTAGATGTATCTCCAATACATTGTTACAGGATTCTGCTCAGGGAGCTAACCAAAAACAGCAAAAAGTATATGGATTAAACTAGAGCGAGTGAAATGATGAAATCTAGGAGAGAGACAGCATCACGTCCTAATTCTTTATCATGAATCTTAGTTATATTTTTCTAAGACAACAGGTAGCTGTGAAACAAAAACAATATGTTAGAAGTGTTAAGCATGCAGTAGCTAACTAGGCATAGCCACTCTCCTGCAGAACCTTTGTCAGTTACCTTTGGTTTCACTGTAGACAGATAATTCACAAAAGCTGAAATCATACACAGTGCAGTAATTTAGCACCACAGACCCATTATACCCGCCAGTCGAACTAGAAGTATAAAATAGAAATGTATAAATACCTCTTCCTATTGTTCCATATACTGACGGATCCAATCAGCTTGTGCGTGTACAGTTGTACGTAGAGATTCACTATCACTTCGGCACAACTGAAACTTTAGGTATTTTCTTATCTTTAACTTCTGCCACATATTAATCTACTGAAGGAACCCAATCTTGTCGAACAGTTGACATGATACCAACAGAACCTGCGAAAAATGCATATTCATGAGCTTGACTTCTTTATCCTAACACAAAATTCCTCACTATTGATCCTGGCAATTAAGTAGAACTTTTTTCATCAATACCTCCTTAGTTCAATTGGGAAGTAGCACTAGAAAACTTCAGAGTAAGCTCATTGCCTCGCAAATTCAAGCATAGCCAATCTAAATCAGCTTCAAATGTGGCTCTCTTTTTTGTACTAATATTTTTTAAATGGTAAATATTAGTAAAAACAATTGCACAGAGCATGTGTCTGATTATATCTCCAAATAACCAAAAAGGAAACACATTCTATGTGTCGAAAACAGTATACATATATACATGACAATTCTACTTTCTTGAAATTACATGAGTCTGCCGCCTTGTCTAGATAAGTATAATTACACAGTTGACTATGACATAAAAGAAATCAATTTTTGAAATTACACAGTTGAATGTGAGATAAAAGAAATCAATTCTTGAAATTACACAGTTGAATGTGAGATAAAAGAAATCAATTCTTGAAATTACACAGTTGAATGTGAGATAAAAGAAATCAATTCTTGAAATTACACAGTTGAATGTGAGATAAAAGAAATCAATTCTTGAAATTACACAGTTGAATGTGAGATAAAAGAAATCAATTCTTGAAATTACACAGTTGAATGTGAGATAAAAGAAATCAATTCTTGAAATTACACAGTTGAATGTGAGATAAAAGAAATCAATTCTTGAAATTACACAGTTGAATGTGAGATAAAAGAAATCAATTCTTGAAATTACACAGTTGAATGTGAGATAAAAGAAATCAATTCTTGAAATTACACAGTTGAATGTGAGATAAAAGAAATCAATTCTTGAAATTACACAGTTGAATGTGAGATAAAAGAAATCAATTCTTGAAATTACACAGTTGAATGTGAGATAAAAGAAATCAATTCTTGAAATTATATAACAGTTGAATGGGAGATGAAAGAAATCAAATTCTTGAAATAACACAGTTCAATAGGAGATAATAGAAATCAAATTTTGAAACTACACACAATTCTACTTTCTTGAAATTATATAATGCATTATATATATACGGCCTTTACTAAAACTGAAATTACAAAGTTCTAGTACTTTTCTTTTCTTTGATGATTATGTGATTCAGAGCGGGTAAAGGCATGTTCAGTTTGATCGGAAAAGCCCTCACGGAGACTGAGTGGGGCGGCCGGAATTAAGCAACAGTCGTCGGAGGCGATTAGAAATTTGCAATTTGGGAGAGTTCATCCGTATATATAAGACGCGGTTTAACGTGCTTGAATTTGACGCGAGAGTTCATCCGTATATATAAGACGCGGTTTAACGTTGGATTCTTAATAGGCGTTAAAAATTCAAATTGAACATGCGATTTTTTATTTTTAAAATATAAAAATTGACGTATAAATTTAATATCTACCATTTTGATTTTGTCAGATTTATGTAATGCATTTTTAAAAAATCTATTTTAGAAGAATTTAGATTTCTAAATTTTTCATTTTATTGTTAATACAAATTAATGAGTCATACAAAAGTATGACTAGCTTTTACTATAATTTTCAAATGTTTTTTTGTTACTTTAAAAAATTTATACACGATTAATCACATACATTAAAATGGAGAAAAATACTAATTTCAATGAAATATAATAGAAAGTAAAAACTGTAAAATACTAATTCTAATGAGATATAATACCTAAAAAAACCAACTATCTCTCAATTTTTATTTTCGCCACATGATAATTTTAATTACACTCTTACTAATTTCAATAGTTTGAAAAAAAAAAACCATTGCTAAGAATAAATATAAATTTATTTACCCAAAGTCACACATCTCAATGTCCTTTTGGAATTTTCTTTCCATAAAACTTATTATTATTGGTAGATAAATCATAAATATCATGTTGATCTTCAAAAACACAAAAAAGATTTTTAGCTCCATATAAAGGATTATGCATGATACAGTAAAATCTCTCTAAATTAATATAGGCGAAACCATGAAATATTATTATTTTATGGATGTATTATTTAATGGATAAATTAATATTTGTTAATTTGAAGAGTGTTTCGATATCAAAAAAATTGTTTAGGGATGAAATCTCAAAGAATTTGAAAGAACCTACTTGTGAAAACATCATTCATTTACTTGAGGTCATGATTACTAATCTCGGTTATCACAATAAAATGGACGTTAATAACCTATTGAATGGGTGGAAATGATACATGTTCAGAGGTTCAGAGCTTAGAACAAATTATGGATATCATTGGGAAAATAATATTTATGATAAAGTTGGAGATGATACAATACCTTTGGAACCAGTTACGCGTAAGGAAACACTTATCACATCTAGAACTCTTCACAATTTTATGGTGCAGCTAGAAAAGACAACATCGAAACTTTTGGATGCAATAAGAAAAGTTATAGATGAGCTTCAACTATTAAATTTTAACAAAAAGACATAACATAATAGAATCATATTTCACTAAATTGTCTTAGATATATTTGTACTATTAAAGAATTATTAATTTATAATATTAATGGAACCATATATTTATATAGGGGTCTTCTGAAAATATATTATCTTATTATTTTATCGAAATGAGTGATTTTTTCCATTGGCCCAAGTCGGGACCAGAGGAAATTATTATTTTATAGAGATTATTAATTGGCCGAGTATCAATTTAGTAAGGTTTTACTGTACATGAATATACCCTTTAACTTAGCCTCATTTTACATTTATGTCATCCAACTTTGAGTTTGCACAAATATGCACTTAAATTTGTATAAAATTGAACAAATAAAAACACGAATTCTACGTGTCACAATACACGTAGGACACAAATTTCTATGTAGGATGCCATATAGACGTTTGTGTCTATTTGTTCAATTTTATACAAGTTTAAGTGTCTATTTGTCCACACTCAAAGTTGAAGGACATAAATGTGAAATGAGGCGTTAAAAGATATATTTATGTATTATGCCAAAGGATTATGTTGTTATTTGAAGGATTATAAAGGAAGTGAAAAAAAACCTCGAAGCACTAAAGAATTATGATAATGAGACACGTATGAAATTGTTATAACTTGAGTACTGTAAATATTTTTTGCGAGAACACATATTCACATGATGATAAACATACCAATGTTATTGACCAACAAATGGTTCGAAGTAACAATAATATTGGTTCATCTTTTTAATTATCTGAACGAGAAATACATATTTAATGTGAAAAGATTGTTTGTATTATGTGCGAGGATTACGTTAGTATACCTACAACTTATGTTAAAATTTACTTTTTTACTGAACTAAAGTTCATAATAAAAGTATAATACATCAGCACAAAGTAATCTATCTCTCTCTCTCTCTCTATATATATATATATATGCCCGCGTGCTTGTTTCTGAGCAAAAAATAACAACTTAAAAATTAAAAGCGCATGTCCATCCACTTTATATCACAATTTCATCTCACCTGACCAAACATGCCCTTAAACGCAGATTTGTACCGTTCTTAACTCACATACTTTCTGTGCGGGTGCACATACGTCAGATTGATTTAATTTTTCAATAAAAATTTGACAAATCAATTACATCAATTTATTAAATCTATAAATCATATAAGGGGGAAATATTATTTTTTTATTTCAATTTTAGTCAGTTTTCTCGGTTCTTTCTATTTCCTCAATTTTTGCACAAATTATATGGCAAATAAAAGTGTACAAGCTTCAACAAAATATAACAATTGAAAAATTACGAAACTACTAGCAAATACTAACAAATTCAATACATACGACGTAACAAGTAACAACAATGCATTAATAATTAACTACACCAAATAAAAACTTTATGAAAACTATTGCAATAACTTAGTTTTGTGATTTATTCAGTTGGAGTGTTGTTATTATTATTACTTTTTTTTTTAGTACCAAATCAAATCAAGAATAGTCAATTTCTTTTTCAACGTTAAATCAGCCACAAATCTCTTTTTTCAATTTGATTTGGTTCAGGATTCAATTTGGTTGCTTGACGATTTGACATGTACACCCCAATTTTCATGTGTCAAAATTAATATTTCATTTGTGTTCGATTTGTGTAATGCACTTTTAAATTAATGACGTTATATAATTTGCAAGAATAAGACAAATCACCTTTTAGAACATGTCAAATTCTATCATTTGTGTTTATCTACTCTGTCATGAATATAATATAAGATAAATTATGATGGAAAACACCAACTGTCCTTAACATCTTCCTTTGCTGCAATGCAATTCTTATGCTTGAATATACGTTAGTATTTAGTAAAAACTTTATTATTGGAATGCACAATAATATAACTTTACAAAACATTAAGCAAATGAATGAATTAACAAATAACAACAACAAATGTTATAGTTTTGGCTTCAATTTTACCGTTTATCAGGTGTAACAGGGAAGCCAATTCCATGTCTCCTAGTTGGAAAGACTACAAATAACAAACTACAAATTACCCCAATTCCAATAGGAACAACATCAAGTACCTGTTTTGTGTCATGATCTGGTGTAGGATAAAAGCAATTCGCCACATTTTTGTCTCTCAAAGCCACAGCAATAAATACAAGAACAGAGAGAACAGCATGAACAAAATCAATAAACCCAACTCTATACCTGTTCAATTCACCAGGCACACCAGAAATTGAAGCTGCCTGGTAATCGAAAATCCACAAACCTTTGAACGTAGCTAATCCATAGTAAATTTGCCCGTCTGGTGCCTTGTAACTATCAGTGAAACAAGCTAAAAAGCACGAAAATGCGAGTAGTGCAAGGAGGATTAATGTCATTGGACGCGATGCAGTGTCACACGTTCCGTTGTTGGTGAAAATTGGGATTAGTAGTTGGAATGCTAAGAGTGTTCCTGTTGGGAGAAGGTTGGCTAAATGTGCTGTGCTTTCTAAGGCACGTTGAGAAATGGACGGTCGCGGTATAGGCGGCCGTTCTGGTATATGATTGTTGTTGTTATTGTTGTCGTTGTTGTTAGTGGGAAGTAATGGGATTTCGGATGCATCCGGTGATGTGGATGTTTGCTTAGAGGAGGTTGATCTGGCTCGTAGAGACATGTCCATCAAATATGAAGACTCTTTGTTAATACTTCAGGAATTCAAATGCTAGAAAATTACGATGAAATTGAAGGAGGAGAGGAGATTGGAAATGAACATGAGCTAGCTAGGTATTATAAATGAAATTGATCATCATGGGAGTTTTATGCGTGTAAGGGAAAGAGGAATATACGTTTAATTTGGTATTATATTGACCTAACAAAGAGTAGTTATTATTTATATTATATACTATGAGGAAACTTCTTGCTTGTCCAAAATGACTCTATGTCTTCCTTCATGTGCTGGCAATACACGTTAATATTAACTTTCAATATATGTTTGCTTCTAAGAATTGAATGATTCATTTTTCACATTTAAAAAAAAATATAATTCAATGTTTTAGACTAAAGTCAAAACAAACTAGTGGAAGGGAAGTTGGTGAGGTGTGACTTGGCACAATTTTTTTAAATTTGCTTCAATATTAATTATTTAGAGCTTATCCTCCTCCTCTTTTTTCTTCCTTCTTATGTTGTAGAAAATTGAAGATTAGTTTTGATTGATTTTGTAAAAAAAAAAGTTGAAGAACACTACTATTTAATATTGTTGAGCTTGATTATTGAAGAAGATAAAGTGGTCTATTACATTTTAAAGTATGAATTGAAATTATAATGTTGAGATTGACATTAGAATGTGGGATATCAATTTTGGAGTTATTTGAACCTGATCTAGACCAAATTTGAAGCAAAAAAAGTGTATTGGTAATTTTTTTACACAATAAGTTATGGATCTATCAATTGGTACAAATTCTGGCAATCCTTGCCGTAATCTTAGCAATTCATAGAGATTTGTGGCCAAACAACTGTGATCTGATGATCCATGAGTGTTTAAAATTCTAACGACTCGTTCTTTTTCTACCTAACTATGGGATTTAATTTGGCAGAACGGTGACACGTAAAATGTAAATATGGCGTTTGAATTCAAAATTAAGCTACTTGTCTAGGGGTGGTAGACTCAAAACCTTGTAACCTCTACGGAATTAAGGGATTGCGTAGAACTCAAATTTCTCTGGAGTTAAAGAAACCACATGTTACCTTAATAATGTTCAAGTGCAAAATTTCCCTATCCACGCGAAGAGCATACATGCATCAGGAATGTATCTGGAGAATTTACCTGTGAATAAATCTACCGTATATATAAATCTGTACAACAACAAGTGACTACCCGGAAGTGACGCTGCAAAAGTGGTTCTGCAGAAGATGAAGTTGGTTTTCTCCACAATAACCAAAATCTGCAAATGATTACACATTTATAAATGCTACATTTAGACACTCAACTTAACTACAAGAATTTATGTTTAAAAAAAGTGCATCTGAAAAGAGACTTGAGAGTTTCAAAGCGCAAGATTTCTAGATCTTCATTCAGTGTCTGTCCTTCCTTTTATTTTCTACAACCAATTTATAATGACTTAATTGCAAGCACAATCAGGCTTTGCTTTCATTCCCCAAGAACCATTTTTTGCGCTTCAAGTCCATGCCTAATAGTGATTTCTGCAAGAGCAAAAGAATCTTATTAAATCTGACCTATTTTAGCACTAGGTATACAAGGATTGGTTGATTCAAATTGGAATTGTCAAGTCATCCATAATGATCTAGGCAAAACAAGAATTCATTTTGTTTATTGTAAGGCATATCTCATTACAAGATTCATAAATTGGGTAATAGCATTATACCAATTTTCATTGTATTTAGGTAGTAGAACCTTCCACTCCCGAGAACTGACAGGAAAATGCACAAAAGTAAGAGCTAGCACACAACAGTTTAGCTAGTGGTTAAGAACTTCCTAAATTTTATCAAATTGATTCCTTCTGGAACATAAGCCAGTTAGACTCGGTTTGCATTGCATCTTCAACCAATTTTTGCTGGACTCCACTTATAAATATTCAACACTGAATTATGAGTTTAGCACAAAGTAAAACCACATAACATAATTCAACTTTTTGGCAGAGAAAATTTTTCTCCCTTGCTCATTTGTACGAGGGATAACTAATTGCGAGATTAGTTCTTGGATGAACTTATCTCATATTTGGTTAACATAAAATCGTGGGATAACTTATCCCGGATTGTAGTGTTATTTATATGGGATAACAATCATGGATGACTAATTCACATGATAATTAATCCGAGATAACTTGTTCCCAAACCAAAAGAGCCCTCGGAGACTACTAAGGATACTTTCTTTCCTTAATAGTCTAATTAAACTTAAACTCCAATATAGCCTCCACAAGTTAAGTCCACCAGAAGAGATTAAGATTAACCAAAATAAAACTTCAGACAATCATTTCGGAATGTAATTACACCATATAGCAGAAATCTCCTTCTAGTACTTAATGCCAAACAATATAATTAAAACATTCATTTAACCAATTTCAGAATGTATTAGACATGTAAATTGATACTAGATAATCTGAAAAGATATCATTTTGACCTAATCTTTCAAGTCCAGAATTGCAGAACAAAGAATAAGCTCAGCAACTAAAATTTCAGACTGATCACATACAGAGAGAGTAACCTCAGGTAGGCGACTTCAAACCCCCAAAAATATTGAAAATGGAGCTCGAAAAAATGGCAAAAAAAATTTGGACCATTTCTCGATTTGTGCGTGTCATCCTTGCGCAGGGGCCATGCTAATCTTCTCTGTATCGTTCCAATTTTATCGGATGTCCCCGAAGGGACGAGCTAAACTGTTAGGTTTCGCGATATAAACCACACACAGCTTTTCTCTGTAAGCGATGAGGGAGAAATCGCTGGTTGAGTCTTCACGCTAACACAGGCCTGGACTCGTTTTTGCGCTTGTTTCAATGAAGCCCACTTGTGTGACGACTTAATTGTAATGGGCCGGCCTTCTTATTTTACTTGGTTGGGGCCAACTAATTGATGACAATCCTTCATTCCACACCTCATATTTTAGAATTTATCCATTTCACACCAACTAAAGTAAAACTTAATCATCTAGGTAGGGGTGTATAAAGACATAATGCAACTGAACTAAGTGAAAAAACTCGCAATATGAGAGGAAAAACCTTATGTGTGTGGAGAAAAAATTATTCAAGATGAAGATCGAGCGCAATATGTATATGTATGTATGTATTTTAAAGCATAAGTTAGTTGTGTGTGTACATATGTCAAGGGATCAGATGTATGAGTGACCAATTGAGTCCAATGTGTGTGTTTTATATCCATATGCGCATAGCACTAGCCAAACTGGATGGGAGATCAATTGTATGTGAATGTACATGTTATACGTATGACATTATTCGATAAAGTAACATCATTTTCTAAGGTCAACTGAAACACTGATTAATCGAGTCGACGGTGAAAGAATAAAGTTGGAGTTGACGAATCACTTTATTGAATTATATTGAATATATTTTTGCTATTTAATTATAAAATTATAATATATGTACACTAACAATATTAATATATTTATACAATCAAGTAACTCATTGAGTTTATAAATCGGTTGATATTTGTTGATTTAGTAAGAATTGTAACTGATATGTTGAAATTTATAAATATAATAGATATTTATTACATTATACAATTTAAATTCAATTTTTAAAAATTTGCACCTCAAAACAATGACAAAGAATCACCAAGAAAGCAAAAAAAAATTGTAACCTAAAAAAAACCACAAAAAAACCCCGAAAAAACATATAACTTGCAAAAGGACCTCTTTAAAATTAAATCGAGTATCAAAAGCGTAATTTGCACAAAGCAAAATTTGAGGGGAGTTAATTGACATCTTTATAAAAGCGGTGGGTTAATGTTTTAACAATATTAATAAATTGTATTATAAATAGTATTATCTCCAACGTGGAAGGGGAAGGCGAAAAGTGAAAACAAAGAAAATAAGAAAAAAAGGGGTTTTATGGGTCTTGGCTTCTTGTAATTCCGACATAGTTTTTCCTTCCGAACCTTAAAATTTTCAAATATTTTTGGATATTTGAATTCAACCGCCAACGTATATCAACGCAAAGAAAATAGAGAGTAAGTTTTCCTCAACTGAAGGCTAAATTGCAGAAGAAAAGGTGAGATTCTTGGCCCCAAGTACCTTGAAGTGTTTGGTTCTTCAAGTGATTCATGTTTTCTTTTATTTAATGGGTGTTTTATCTTTGTTTTCTTGTTTTGGGTAAATGGGGTTTTGTTGGTTTATCCAAGATTGTGTCTTTCAACTTCTTGAATCTTGATTCTTGATCCTTTGACAGATTTTGAGTTCGTTTTTCCCTTTTTCTTTTGGTAATTGTCTTTTTGATTCTTGGGTTGTATGCTGGTTTATCAATGTAGTTATTCTTTTGATAATCTGTTCAGCGTTTGAATTAGATTGGTTTATTTCTTTTATTTTCTCTTATGAATCTTGGTTGTGGGTGAATTCTAGGGTTTGGTTTTGTTTTCTCTCATTGTTGGGTTTTTGAGAAGAGATTTAACATTGGAGTGATGCATTATAGTTTTGTGTTTTTTGAAGATTATTTGTATCTTTAGTTAACTTCTCTTTATGGAAGGCTAGCACTGAAAGAATCTGGATAAATTTGGGAGTGTATTGCAATTTCTATTTTTCTAAATCAACTTTCTTGTATTGAGGTGTTGTAGATCAATGACAAGTATGACTATATGACACATTAGACATTAGTGCTTTATTGCCAAGTCAGGGCTCTTGAATTTGTTTTGTGATGGATTTCATTGTGCAGTTTGCAGCTGAAGTGGATGATGTTCTTTAATCTTTTCTAACTGGGCCGTGCTTATTGCGATTTTTGTAGGCTGATCAGTTCCCTGCTTGCAGTAGCGTTGTGCCAAAATATACAACTTAGCCGATCCTTTTCTCATCGTTCTAAGAGTATCAAGTTTCAACTGACTAAAGGCTATTGCTCACCTGAATCAGTTTTTAAGGAAAGATGAAACGCCGTCGTGGAAGCAAAAAAGGTAAATCAAAGAAGCTTCGAACAACAGGTACAAGTGAGGGAGCATCTAATAATGGTAGCATGAATTCAGAAACTAGTTCTGGTACGGAAGACATTGACAATGATGGAGTTAACTCTGGGGTTGAGGCTGAGACACCATCCTCTACCGGAACTGCTCAACCGGAAAAACCTGTGATTGTTTATTCTGGTGTGCCAAGGGACAAACCTCCAGGTTTAGCAGTTTATGGACGTATGAAAGTAAAACTCAAAACAAAAAAAACATTAGACACTCAGCTCAATTCTTCAGAAGTAGTCACTCATAGTGATACTGATAAAAGTAGCCAGCAAGCTGGTCCAGAAAAACAGGTTGTCTCTAATGAGAAAATGGAAGACAGTGCAAACTCATTGCCTGAGGCTAATGTAACTACCCCAGGAAATGTGCTAAAAAAACCTGGAGGCATAAAGATCAAGTCTTCAAAGGGCTTCTCTTCAAGCATGAGCCCTTGTAGTAATGTTGAAATGGTGAAGGAAGAGAAGACAAAAAAACCAGAGCCTGAGTTACTTCACCGTGATTTGAGATTAAACAAGCAAGAACTAGACACTGCTTTGGAGGTAAGCACGGCAAATAACCTATTTGTCCTGGCATGTTCACAAGATGTACATTTAAACATATTCCATATGCCATGTGTGGTTTGGTTATAGCTGTTGCCTGTTAGTTGGCAGGGAGGTTAAAGCTGAGCGGAAGTATAATAGGAAGTTACTCTCCATACTAACTATTTTAGCCCCTCCAAGATTGGGCGAATATGAGAATTTATGTACCTTTTACTTCCCTTTCACCCTTACCTTCACTTAGTGATAGTAAACACTGAATACATCAATGAACTTCTCTTTTTTTTCCCTCCCCACCTCCCATCTCTTTCGTGGACCAAACACAGTTTAAACATAGGTTACCATGCTAAGGGCAGGGGCGGAGCCAGCATGTCTTTAGGGGGTTCATCCGAACCCCCTTTGGCGGAAAATATTACTATATATACATGGTTAAAATTATTTTTTAGATATATATAATAGATGTCGAACCCCCTTTGACTAGTTCGTATGTTTACTCCTTCGGATTTTGAACCCCCTTATTGAAAATCCTGGCTCCGCCACTGGCTAAGGGGATTCATAATCTTAAAAGACATCTTAACGTTATCGCTTTTATACTAATTTATTTTAGTTTCTTGTTAATTAGGTTATAAGAAAAATTATGAAAATGGATGCTGCAGAGCCCTTCAATACTCCAGTCGATCCTATTGCTCTTGGAATTCCTGTAAGTAAATAATTTTTTTTCTTACATTTCTTTTATTCCATAATAAGTAATGTCATCTAGAGTTGGCTTTGGAGGTTCAAATTCAACAACTTAGAATCCCATGTCCATGTGGGAGGGTTTTGTTAAAGTAATAGAGAATCTTTGAAAATTTATTTGATTGAATAATACTATTGTAAATAGTTTTCATGTAGACTGAAAAAGTCCGTATTTTTTGGGGTCAACATCACTCCGACTTCCATTGAAACAAGTTGCTTGTGGCATTACTAAAGTTCAAAATATTACACCTCTAGTCCAATATCAGGAAACTGATTTTACCTAGGAATACGAAGAAAACCCCTCTGAAGTGAATAGTGATGCACAAAAGTATGTAGAGATTGTAGTCTTGGTCTTCTGAATATTGTCACAAAATCTCTTGGATGCTTTACCTTGTCCCTTTTCCCCTTTATCTAGTAAATTAATAAATTCTTATTCTACTGGTATGGGGAGCAGGATTATTTTGATGTCATAAATACACCTATGGATTTTGGGACAATATGCAGTAATCTGGAAAGTGGTGTCAAATACATGAATTCCGAGGATGTCTATAAGGATGTGCAGTATATATGGGACAACTGCTACAAGTATAATAATAAAGGTGATTATGTTATGGAGCTCATGAAGCGAGTGAAAAAGAACTTCGCAAAGTACTGGACAGCAGCTGGCTTATACAGTGATCATCTGCAAAGTAAATCTCTCTTGTACCTTAATATATTTTCATATCAGTATCACTCTGCTGAATTTGCTTATATGTTTTTCTTCCTTTTCTGCAAGTCTAGCAATTAGACTTTGTTCATCAATGTTGCATATTAACAGATGTACCTTGCTTCAGTCTTAAAACAGTTAATCAGCATTTAATTCATGTCTTCTTACCTTATTAGGTGCCGAAAGCAGTCAAATTAAGGAGACTACACCTTCAAGTCATGGAAAGGAACCTACAAAAAGTGGTTCTTTAACTCACAAACACAACAAAAGGCTTCAAGGGTATGTTGATCTATGTTCTGTTTATGTACTTTCCTCATTGGCCATCACTTATTTGCGGGGCCTAGATATGTTTTTATGATATAAATGTGGAAAAATTGAACACTTATTATCAGATAAGAAAAAATAGTTCACAATGTTTCTTTAACCAGAAAAAGAACAGGAGAGGGTTACCCTAGTGGTAGAGACACCTGCACCTCCACCTCCACCTCGAATCATAAGGTTGGTGTTCAAGCCACCAACAGAGCTAAGTGGGAAGGACCACTGCCGGGCTCCTGGACAGGGAGCTTGAGAAGTGGAGTTTACCATATCAGTTAAGAAAATTTCTTATACAACCAGAAAAAAAGTTTATAGAGATGAAAATCTTTATATGTTAATTCTGCATTTTTATTGATAAGGATTGGAGATGGAAGATGATAAATCACTGATAATTATATCTTTCTTCTAAAACAGAAAATGGACATTTATACTCCTGTTCAAACTAGATATGTTAATTGCTATATTGTGAAGTCTCAGGAGATGTCCGCCTTTATGAAGAAACTATGTGCCACAACTACTCTTATTCTGCTGCATTTTACCATCCCTCCCAAATGGTATTTCTCTGATAATTGGCTGAATCTTTTTCCTTCCCATAGTTTTAGGCGGATCTTACACATCCAAAGAAAGTACTTTCTTTTTTTTTGGATGGTACACATCATTTCCTTCTGTTGGGAAAATGCATTCTTGCTGCTGACACAATTAGTAAGCCATTCAGTGGTGGAGAGTCGATACTTATGGAATTGACTAGGTGAGTGGGGGAATGTTTTCCATAGAAGGACGACGTCAAGGATGAGGTGAGCTGGCTAAGGGAGTTAAATGGCTGGTTATGGGTGCAAGAGAAAGGGATATCAGGGAAGGGTGATGCTCCATTGGCAGGACAGGACTTGGTGAACTAGATGCAGAGCATGAGATATCTTGAAGGAGGCTCACATAAGAAGGTCACTCTTCAGAGAGAAGCGCTGAAGGGAGGTCACTGCTAGGGCGTATGGGATGGGAGAGAACCAGATAATGGAATGAAAAATAAGAGTGGACTTAGATTTATATCTGTAGTTAGCCTAGCTTCAATATCCCGATGGACTCTTTAACCAAGGTTGAGATTCTCTTTTACATAGCTTAGGAGAGTTTGGAGTATTTAATTTTAGAACTAAATAAAGGATCTGAAAATTCTAAAAGCAAACAAAGAAAGTGAATTTTATTTCATAAAAGTTGGAAATTGTTGATAATATATTTGCCCGATAATTTTTCAATGCCAAACAAAACTAATACTGGCAGAGTTACCTTTTTTTTGTTGGCCTGGTAAAAATTACAATTAAGAGATATAAATATTTGGTAATCTAAATGTTGTAGAATCTTATTTATTGGTTTTTGACTCATAAGGTCACCAATTAGGAACTGTATCACACTTCTCTGCCTTACATTCTCTCTGTTTTAAAAAGTATTAAAACCTACTCACCCAGATTTTTCCATATGTTCCGGTATGTGCTATAAACTGGTGAAACTAGAAAAATTCCAAAGGGGGTACTCTGGTACCAATTTACTGTTAATACTCACTCGAAGTGTAAATTTTTTCCTTGATTTTATTGGACTTTGTTCAGGCTCAAGAAGCACAAAGAAGGCTGCCTTTGTGCTATATGTGTGATGATACGGCGCAGGCAGGAGCGGGAAGAGACCACTCAGTCCTTGGATGACCAAGGCGAGGCTAGTGATGATTATCCAGATGGCATGAAGCCCGAGGTACTTAAAGTCTTTTTTTACCTCTGATTTTATATATTTCTCTGTTAAAATGTTTGGAAATATTTTTTAGTTGAGGGTTTAGATTAGGGAGTCGATTAGAATCTGTAGATAAAGAAGAGAACCTATTGTGGGTTCAAATTGTATTATACACATTTTAGAACAGAATGTAAGAATACATAATTACAGACAGAATCTTCTTAATTGATCCTAAATGATCTTATCTGATCCTAGACTATGCATGATATTTACAAAATTGTTAAAACTCCATTCATGTTTGGACGTACATATTGTATACTCTTTGCTTGTTACAATTGTATTGGATACAGGAATTTAGAAGTACTTTGTAATATCTACTCCCTCCATTACAAATTTTTAGAAGTTTAAAGTAAAATTGTTATTGAATATAGAAATGTGTCATTCTTTTCGGGATTGACTATAAAGGAAAAGAGTGCCACATAAATTGGACAGAGGGAGTAATAACCAGTCAGTTGAAATTGATGAAGCTCGTCGAATACATCCTAATTCAGTCTTTTGCCTAACAGTGTCTTTGCGTGCTTTGCTTTTTCCCATTAAATACGGGATTTGAAGCCTTATGTAGTGCAACTTCTCTCAAATTAGTGATCAGTTCCTCTTTTCCTTTAAATTTTAATTGTTGAAGAAACTGCTTTAACCATATTTGCTCACAAGTAGCTGAGTACATGGCTCGAGATGCTGCATCTGTACCTGACGTGCTCAACTGCTCATCACATTTACTTTTTGCTTTTCTAAGATATAAGATCTCTTGGATTGAAGATACAATAGCTGCTAGTTAACCATAAGTTAGAAGGAGAACCTGCACAATCTGCATCAGAATTCCCACCAATATGTGAATTCCCCTGTCCTCATATAACAAACCTTGCTTGGAGAGCCCTTGATATTCCTTAGGAATCAGGTTAGTGCATTTTAATCACTCTCACAAGGACCTTAAAGGAACTGAGTAACCGCTCATCAAATTAGATGTTGAGTCGTGTAATTCTGAGATTATAATAAAGCTTGCCAACAAGTCTCCTAAGCTGGTTATGTGTCTTTCCAAGTCTCTTTCCAGCAATTAACATTAGAATCCATAGGAGTATCAATAGGTTTGTGCTTCTTTGTGAAATGATTGCCTTCTGGATATCTTGCTGGTTAGGATTTGCTTTGATATACTCCCTCCATCCCATATCAGTTGATCATTATACTAAAAATAGTTGTCCCATGTTAGTTGTTCACCTTACTAAATCAAGAAAGCATTAATTAATTTTTTTTCTATATTACCCTTGCAATTAATTCTTTTTGAAAGTGATCACATTTATTTGTAAAATTCTTAAGGGTGAATTAGTAAAATTATCTTCTTATTTATGATTTCTTAAGCACCGCGCAAAATGAAAAGTGATCAACTAATATGGGACGGAGGGAGTACATAGGAATCTTCGATTAAATGGATCTCCGCATTACATATTTGTTTAATGACTTGAGCATAGAGATGTTATTCTGTTTCCAGTTTTTTTGTGACCATTCTGATAGTGTTGATACAATTTCCTTTCTAACTGTTGTTTCTCCATTTTCTTTCTTAAAAGGAAACTTCACCTGTAGAAAGTCGAGAGTACACCTCATCAAATATGGAGAACTCACCAGAGACAGATGTTGACACCATTATGCAAGAAAACGGAGCAGAGAGAAAGTTGACTGAAAATCAGGACACTTTATGTGAGAAGCTAGGGGAAGGGATGAGGAGTGAAATGGGAATCCAAAGTAAAAGAACGGGGGTCACTTCTGAGCATTTGCAGTCAGGTTATACATCTTTAGATGAGCACAAAGCACATGATCAGAAGCAAAATGGGGAGCCAGGTGGAGATTTGCTGAATGACAGTCGAAAAGAAAATCTGCAGCATGGGGATGAAAATGCTGCAACTGGGCTACAGAGGCCAAAGGTAAGCAATTGAAAGCAAATACTCTGCGATAAGTATTGTTTATACCTTTGTTTCCAGTATGAAAAAGGCTTGTTCTAGTACTTGGTTCATCATATATCAGTTCATTCTTCAATACCTTATTATTCGCGAAATTGCATATTCGTACTTGAATGGCAACCACTAATTTACAGCTATGGAAACACACTGAAGAAAAACATATGCTAAAATTGAAAATTTGCATGAATGAATTCCTGGAGTAAAAGTCCATGTCAAGTGCATAATACTATCTGAGTTACCGCCACTTGAACCAATCCAGTGAAAGATGAAACATTTTTTATTATTGTCGTTTGGAGAAACTGAGCTGGAAATAAATGTTTCTCGTTAGTCTAAGAGGATCCCTGTTGGCTGATAACAATATTATACCAGGTTTTACAGTAAACAAATTCAGTATCTTTCAACTTCTATTGTGTTGTAACTCTGTTTTGGGCGATGATATTTTGAGCAGGAATTGCAAGACAAGTACAAGAAGGCCAAGATGTGGGAGAACTTGCGTTATCTTGAAAATACAACAGTTATGGATTTATCTCGAGTCCTGTTTGCTGATAATCAAAGATCTGTCTGGAATGGACCACATTCACTGGTTAAGCGTGGGGATTCCACCACCCGCAAGAGCTCCATTCATGCAGCTATTTCCATGCTGATGCAGTAGGTTTTTTCTTGACTAATGAACATGTGAATCCGAAGTTATTTTTTCGGTTGTGGAGGTGTATGGTAGGTTGAGTGTATAATGTATTTTGAGGGTAATAAACTCTCCCATTAGATTGTAAACACAAGAATCAGGACTAGATTGTCTGGCATTTACTATTCAAGAATAATGATACAACCCACTTTAGTTGAGCGTTTCTAACCTTAATGGCTACTGCAATTATCTCTGTGTCAAGGAGACAAATTTGAAATTGCCATGCCATTTGCAGAACCAAAGGTCATTGAAATAACAACTAATATAGCATAACATCGAAAGCAAAGGTAAAATTAACAGGAAATAAGTGGCATAAATGAAACCAGCATTTTGATTCCTGTACATACAAATTACATGAACTGTAACACTGGAAGTCGGTGCAGAACTACATCCTAGAGTACTGCTTTTGTTTTCTCTCCAAGCCTACTACAGCAAAATCATTTTTCTGGTAACAGTATCTTGATTTGTTAGGGTATGGTGGGATCAACCTTCAAGAACATCTCATGTAGGGAGTTGAAACTCAATATCACAATATAATCATCAATTTTAAAATCCACAATACGTTTCAATTCCCGACATTAGATGTTCCTGAAGGTTGAACATAACAAATCAAAATATCTAATTGATACCAACTACTTGCATCCACCTCATACAAACTTTGCTAGTTGTTAATAAGAAGCTGGTCAATTCACTCGATCAAGAAATACGCTCAGAGAACATCAAACTAGTCTGCAAATACTTCTTATTAGCTTTGATTAGTCTCGGGAGGCAAATCATATTTGACATGTCCAAGATAAAGACCACAAGCAGGAGCCATCGGAGGTGCTGCAGTAATGGATTTTGCTTCAAGGATGCGTTTTACTGAAATGATGCATCAAAGATGAATAGTGGTCAGACTAAAAAACCACTATTATTTGCTGACATAAAACGTTTAGCATAAGAACATACCATCTGGATCTGTCAGAACTCCAGCCCCAACTGACTTAAGGACTCCAACAAGCAGCCTAACCTGCATGAGACTTATTTTTAAGAGTTGACATGTGAAGCCTATTTGTATAAAGATTGACAAATCTGATAAGACAATCAGTTAAAAAAGAGAGACAAATTTGATGACATATTATTCCCATGTCTCAAGTCTTTCTGTAATTGTATCAAGATTAGTCTCCCATCAACTCCACTTCTATTGTTTAAATTCAGAACCAAACATATACCTGCTCAAAAACTCATAACAAACCTCAAAAAACAAAAACAGAAGTAAAAAATTTCTGAAACTCATCTCATGCAACATGATTAACTTGGCAAGGAGACCTATTGGCGTTATAATTCTGAAGCACTTCAAAATTTTCAGAAATCTCGAATAAGAAAGAGTTCCAACTTAAAATAAGACTAATTAATCTGATATTGAAAGTTCTCCTTTCCCACGTCCAATTTCCATACTCCGTTTATTATTCATTGGTATAGTTGTTGGATTTGGGGTATAATAAGACTAATAAGTGCTCTGATAAAGAGCTTCTTTTCCCATGTTCAATTTTGACACACTATGTATTACTTATTCATTAGTATATTTATAGGTTGGGGTGGGGGAAGGGCAGGAATAAAAAACAGTTAAAAGCAAACACAATAACATTTGGAAGAAACAAAATACCTACCTGATGGTAAAGAAAAGATCGTGCCCTTGCGGTTACCACGAAGCAACGGTGTCTTCTTCTAAGGCCAAACTCTTGACAAGCCTCACCGTTTGAACCTTCCAACTTTTCTTCATTGGTGTTCAAAGAGATCTGGGAGTGGTTGGTGTCTGAACCCAAGGATACAGTTGGATCCTCCATGACACTACTGCTCTTTAGTCTCTCTGAGATTGATGGAAAAAAGGGAGTTGAAACGACCTCAATAACATTAAGTTCATCCAGAGTTCTGATGGGTGAGTTGGCCTGTTAATGTTTAAAATGTTAAGAGCCAAACCTTAAATGTTAAGTTCATCCAATTTTCTATATAGGAAATTAGCAACAGGGAAAATGTAGAAAAGTAATGAGAAGTAGTAAAATCTCAACCAACTGCAATAAAGAGTCGTGAAGTTGCTTCCTTTAACCTAGAGCATAAGTGAAAATTTCCTACATATCCAATAAAACTATACCACATCCTCATCTTAATCTATGTCAGCACTTGGTTTTCACGCAATAGTAATCAATAGTTCAACAAGCTAGCTTTCCAGGATACCTCCTCTACTCCAAATTCTTTTGAGAATAAAAAAAATAAAAAGATGGAGAAGAAGAGGCATACTGGCAAACTAGCTTGTTGATTATTCATTACTCCAATTTCATTGTAAAAAACGCTAAGTTTTTTTTTTTTGATAACCTAGAAATCCCTGAGGGAAAAAGTCAAGATTTACGGTGAACAGATTGCAAAGTAAAAAAGAAATGTAGGGCATCAGTTAGAGAATTTTTTTTGGGAAAATCATAATTAGATTAAAAAAAAGCACTATTGTGTATCCAAGGATAGAAAAGCTGACCTGACAAGCAGCTGCTCTGAAAGAACTGAAGTCATGACGTCCAATAAGAATGTTACATGCTTTCTGGAAAATACACAAACAATATCGTTATATGGGATAATAATACTAAGCTTAAAAAATATATGTGCAGCTAGTCAACCTGCATGGCAAGAAGATCCAGATTCTCAGGCACATGCCAAGCCCGGTCCCTCTCAAAGCTAGATACCGACTCCGGTCCAGATAACAATCGGTAGAAGTACCTAAAACGAAGATTCCCAATGACCAGCAGTCAGTCATTGATCTCATAAGCATGTGTCACACGGAAAGACGGGAAACCTAAATTTAGCATATACTAGTTCATATGTGAATTAAATATCGAGTGTGTCAACACCTTATCCAAATAAACAGTTGCTTTAAATATAACCACTGTTATCCTGTTAAACATTGACTCTCAGAATGGATTAGAGAACAATCAGGAGCAGCGACATACACGTAAATAACACCATCCTAGCCGGACAGAAGACTATTCCCTGCAGCTAACCTTTCCCATAGACATTGAAGAAATCAATTTTGAGAGACGGCATGTTACTTGGATCACATATGCATGTACAGATTCAGTATTATTCTACATGATCAAGAAGATATTGATGCCTACGTGCGTTCTTGAGCTTTATATCTGGCATGAAAATCGGCAGGAACACACCGAACGTCAATAACCATTATATCACCCTCGTTCTTCTGCAATCAAACAATAATGAACAAAAATGGTCAGTACCTCCAGATAGAAAATTAAATATCAGCTTGATTAGCATTATGTCATTTTGCCTCAATTTCATTCTTAATGTAATTTAACAAACTTAAATACCAGCTTGAAATTTCATTCTTAATATATTAACTAACTGAAAATACCAGCTTGATTGGTATTGGGTTTTGTTGCAGGAAACATGAGGGGAATATAAAAGGAGAGAGAAATGACAGGTTTATTTTTGTTAAAGAATCAATGATTACTTCTAGATTTCTAGTTGTTTGGTACCATTGTTATCCTCTTAAACTGTCAACAGTTACACCTGTGCATCTTAATCATGTTATCCTTAGAAAATGCTCAAAATGATGAGATTACTAGAAAACTCTAAATTCTCTGCAAGACTCATTCTAAGGAAATAGCGGAACTTAAAGATTGGAACTTTGATGAGCCTCCATATGCACAAAAAAAAAAGAAAAGATACCAAATAAAAAGAAACAGAAAGATACTTCCTTAGCAAATATCATGGGTAGATGGAAGATCAATAAAGTTCATAATCAAGACTTTGGAGGATTGTACAAAATTAAATATCAGGAATCAGAACTTGTTAGACAACTAAACCTGTAAAAAGTGGTTCACAGCTCTTTTTACCACCAGAGGTTCATGAGGAGGTAACTGCACGAGAAAAATACAAGTGATAAGGATTTAGCAAAGTAACATAATAGGTTAAGAGGTAGAAACAAGTTTAAAAGACAATTATTTAGTATTGGAAGAAGCAGGCATGAATGGAATGGAAAAATTATATAGGATTCACATACTGAAAATTATAGACAATTGCAAGGAAAAGATGAAAATTGGTCACTCAATCATGAGTATAGAATATAATGAGAAGGAAATAATTCAATCTAACAGAAGCAGGATGATAACAAATTTCTCTGCATTACTCAAAAGATTGAAAGTGCTTGTGCAGTGCAGATATTGTGAAACTTCCATTACAGACAGAAAAGTACCACATCACCAGGTTTCCTTTTGCTTATCCTTTCAACATCTACATGGCAAACATTTGATAAAGCATGTACTCCAGCATCCTAAGATAAACCAAAGTGAGCTGTAAGTGTGTTAATATTGAACATTTTAGTAACTTCTAAAGAGCTAGAAAGAAGACACAGATAACCAGCTTTCGCAGGATATAGACCCACAAAAAGGGAAAGAAAATAATTAGAAGAAAGATGTTCTTTGAAAGTGACAGTCATTTTCCATTTTGAAGTCACACATTCCCACAGTGCATAATCCCTGAGGGTTAGGGTCAGTGTCACTGTCACTGTCACTGTTTGAAACTTGATGGATAACTCGCCCGCCCCTCTACCCTCTACTCGATGCATTATACCAATTGGAGCAAAGATGATTTCCACCTCATTTATAGCAGACTAGCAGTAACCACATCCTTTTTTGTGTACTTCCAAAATTCATCTTTTAGACAAACAACAACATACCCAATGTAATCCCACAAGTGGGGTTTGGGTGTTTACCCTTCTTTTCCAAAATTCATCTTTTAGACCTGCTACAGTGTAACTAGTCCTCAAATAGCAAAAAGTAAATGGTACATAATGTTGTTAGAAATATAGAGGAAGTCTTAAAATCATATTGATACTTCCATATTGAGTAGATTCTTTTTCTTTTTCTTAGTATTATTTCTTCTTTTTCTAATTTGATAAGGACTTCCATATTAAGTACATTTAAACTCATTAAAGGTTGAATTTGAAGATAAATCATAAATAAATCTGAGCTCAAGAGAATTCACATATCTTATCTGAAGCTAGACATGAAACAGGTTAAACAAATACACTTACTCGTCTTTAGGCATAGCTCATTACAGCTGAAAAGAAACACTTACAGTTCGACTCGAGCAAAATACTGATACTGGCTGTCCAACAAACTTCTGGAAGGCTTCCTGCAAAACGAAAAAAAAAAGAGAGGAGGAAAATGTAATTAGTCATTGCCATTTTTTACACCAAACATTGAACTAAGTACCTTTGTGTAGCAGGTAGATGATCAATCAACAGATAAGAAAACCTTTTTCTCAAGTGATCCAACAACCAAAAGTATCACTCATTGACAACATATAAATGATAAATTTACCTGAAGAACACCGACTACAGTTCTGCAATTAGGTTGTTGCTGTGCACCGGCGAAGCGAGTTCCTATGTACTCAATTGCTATCAGGTACCGCTGTAGCCGAGGATTAGGATTCATTGTTCTAGTTACTGACTCTTTCTGCTCTTCTCCTTCAAGAACGTCGTTGCCGGCGTCGTCGTTTACCTTGGGGAATTTCGACGGCCGTTGGGGAGATTCCGGCCGTTGATCGAGCGAGTGTTTATTAGTCTCCGAGATCAACGGCTGTGATTGATCGTTTGACATTGCAGAATGCAGAATTTTGGAGCTGTGTAGTTCTGAACGTTAGAAATGCAATGAGGGTTTAAGGGAATTTTGGTGGGAGCCCGAAACACACATGGATCCGCCCCGACTTCTTCTTTTTTTAAAATAAAATAAAATCTTGTCCATTAAAAAAGATTTAAATATTTTGAGGGAAAAAATCAAATTAATAAATCAACTTTTACGAAATTTGTTTGAAAAATTATGTCTAAAATTAGAGTGGACAGTTATTATGTAGTTGTGTGTTGCCTAAGGTGTGCAACTGGTTCGATTCGATTTTTATGCATTATCGATTCGATTTAACCAAATCAATAAGATATGTTGCATTTCTTCTTCTTTCATCATATTAATATAGGGTAAGTAGTATTTACTCTTTTAGGTTGTTATCCTTATTTTCAATTTATTTTTTTTAGTTATGTTGTCTTTATCATTTTATTGTTGTTACGATTCATTTCTTATCAACATACTTTGTCATGATTGACTTCTTCACATTCAATTACTTTTTCTAAACTTCTTTGAAATCTTTTTTTTTCTTGAACCGAGGATGTTTTCTACCTCTTAAAATCGAGATAAAGTTTGCATACACTTTACTCTCTTCAAACTTACTTATAAAATTGCACTGAATATATATTATTGTTGTGAATAAACGTAATCCATATTTTGAAAAATAAAAGATCCTACACCATAATAATAAATGATGAGAAGATTTTTTGGTAGGGGGTGAGGGTGAAAAGATGATAGAACTAATTCAAACAAAATTAGCTAATCCCACGGAAAGGAAACTATAATCAACCAAAATCAATTAATCAGATGCTTTTGGAGATTGATTATTGATAATGAAACTGATTTACTAGTTACTACAAAATCAAAAGAAAAATACATTATGCAGTTTTTTTTTTTTAGTCATACTCATATAGCTCTTAATATATACTTATTATTAAAAATAGATCATTTAATGATGCATAAATCTGTTCACACTGCTTGGGTAATACGATTCATAACATTAATTGGTACTTTTTTGTTTTAGGAAAATTATATATAAATATGGTAATTTTCGAATATTTTTGACTAAAAATATTTATGACTAAGTAAGGATCTAAGAAAATCAATTAATGGGATACTAAATTAAAGTTTTACATGTTCTTTCCTTTTAAAATTAGTAGCATTAATTGATTTATTTAAACAAACCCCTTTCTCCCTATTTATAAAAAGAAGTTATTTCTTTTGCTTTGTACGTTGAAGCCATATTGTGAAAAACAAACTCCAAAAGGTACTTTCTTCAATTACTTCTTTCTCTTCCAATAATAGTTAATTTATATGATTTGCTTTCATGGTTATATTATTGTTCTTGTTTTCGAAGTTGTGTTCCTATATTGTGAAACAAAGTTTTTCCTTGCAAACTATTAATATTCAGTTATTATATACAGTATATTAATTTGAGTTTGTCGTAGGAACTCATAGCTTTAAATCTTGAATTTGCCTCTGATATTTTTTAAAATTTTGTTGAATTTATGGTAGATCAAGAAGATGGGGCGTGCAAAATTGAAGATGGAACTAATAACCAAGGAGAAATCAAGGAATGCAACATTCAAGAAAAGGAAAGAAGGTTTATTGAAAAAGTTGTATGAATTCACTACACTTTGCAATGTGAATGGACTTATGATCATGTATGGACCCAAACAAGGCAATGGATCAGACTCTAGCCCTGAGATTTGGACAAATAGTAGTGGAAGTACTACTACTACAACTACTAAAAGCTTACAACAACAACAACAAGAGATTGAGAATCTAATCGACGAGTATAAAAAGGAGAATAGTTTGCAATCTGGTAGTACTAAAACCTTTGGATTGTCTGATTATTTTGTTGATCGAAACAAGAAAGTTGAGGAAGAGTTTATCAAGTTGAGAAAGATGAATATGGAGAAAAAATATCCATGTTGGCTAGAGTTTATGGATCAGTTATCTGAGTTTAAGTTGAGGGATTTTTTAACTTTGTTGGATGACAAAGTTGAAAATGTGAAGACTAGGATTAATATGCTGAAAGGGAATTTTACTGATTTGATGGAAGGAGAAATGATTGGTTTGGGAGGAGGAGAACAAGCAACAAGATTAACTCATTATAATGACAATGTTATGGTCCAAGGAGGAATGGAATATGGAGATTATAATCAATTGCAAGCTCCAATTTATCCTTACTGTAATTCGTTTGTTAATCATCATCAAGAAATGAGGATGTTGATGATGAATGAGAATGATTGGCAGTATAACAATGGTGCATCATCGTCTGGGAGCAATAATATGAGGTGTGCATTGATGAAATATGAAACTATGATGACTCATAACATGATGGGAAGTAATAATCAGTTGACATATGTAGCTCCAACAATTCTGCAGCCAACTCCATGCATGATGATGCCCCAGATGCAACATTCTTGGATAGAAAACGAGCGAGATGATAAAACAAAATTTTCACCTTATATGAGGAAGTAATTTTGTTGGTATGAATTTTATCTTCCGTCATTTCTTTTAATGAGAAAAGGAATGTATTTGGTTATATAGGATAATAGTATTTGTTTTTAGTGTTTTGAAGTTGGAGTGGTCTTTTAATTTCATATTCAGTGGTGTGATCATCAATGAAAATTCTTCTATTTTGACTTCTTGTTGTTCTTCAGCATTTGCTGTCGAAGTTGCAACTGACTCTGCTGTTGCAGCTCAAGTGCCATAAATTGCTTGCTAATTTCTTCATATCTGTATGTACAATTCGTTACGAATAATCCGCTTTACATGTATGATAAGGTTTATTATTCAATAAAAAATGTGTTGGGAGAAACCCTTTAACAACTTGATTCTTGGTTATGATGGAAATATAACTTCATCCAACAACACATAAAATTCCAGAAATTTACAAAATCTTAGATGCAAAATTGCAGAAATTCCTTACGTGGACCTCAGCCACATTATAAAGTAATATGGTGACAAACTAGAAATATAATACTACAAGTAAATTCTCAAAATAAAGTAAAGCTAGACTGGGAGATGAGGGGCAATTTTTTCTTAAACATCATCAATACTGCGATAATCTAAAACAAAAGTAGAGATCTTTTGAAAGTAAACAAACACTGCAAAGTCAAAAGAAAAGAAACAGAACCCTTTTCCTTTCTTAAAGATGAAGCAAAACTAATAGAGACTAGTAAGTAAATAAATGCCATCCCAAAAGCTGGGCAGCGGGAGGAGTGTATGCCTATAAAGCTAATTAAACACAAAAAGAAGAAACAAGGACCCGTTTTGATGCTTCAAGACTACCTAGTCATAAAATGCCTCTTGGAGGCAACCTATGATTCAGACACTGCTTTTGAATGGCCTTGAATTAATCGATAGGTTTTTGGTGAGAGAAATGAGAGGTGCAGTTGGATCAGCAGAGTTGGTCTTCAGCTCCTCCTCAAGTACCTTGTCTCCTCCTTTGAATTGCTTCTGCACCACAGGCAACATAACAATTATAACGTATATAGATTTCACTACAAATGTTGTCAAGATAAAAAATTTATCAAGTGTGCTTTCAAAACAGAAACAACAGAACATGAACTATCCAACTAAAATGCGGAGCTGCACTACTAAGATGAAGATTATCAGCACACAAGAAGATGGAGAAAATCACAAGACTCGACCGGCTATCTTGAATATATCATTCCATTATGGTATACTAAAGGTGTGAGTTTTAAGTTTGATAGCTCGATATCTGTAGTAGTTGTACATATTTAAGACAATAACTCACATTTTCTTCTAGAAAACACCAATTATTTATTTTACTAACTTTCTTTTGGTCAGAGACCTTTTACAACTTACAATGCACAGCAATAATAATTACTACCTGAACACTTGATTTCACAAACAATAAACTTTTTGGTCGGAAACCTCATATAACATACTCAACTTGTGGAATAGGAGAATTAGATTTGTGAATAATTTTAGAAATATCGTTTTCTCATTCTTGCAGTTTGATAAATTGTCTAATTTGAAGTGAAGAATAGTTGCTATGAATTTTTTACAAAGTGTTTGGTACAAACATACACAAGTGTCCACAGTTTAAAGGGAAACATGAGGTATCCTAGCTAAAATGCAGAGTGGCACTAGTTGTTGAATATTATATAAATGCACGAGGAGGAGAAACTCACAAGAGAATCAGCTTTCTCGTATACATCAGCTTGAATAGCTGGTTTTGAACTCCTTTTAGCCTTGAGCACTTTCTCACGCTTCTCATAGAAATTGAAATCATCCAATATAGATGTCTTCTCTGAGTAATTCTTAAGTATGTTAAGCATTTCCAAACCTTCCTTCAATCCAATCTGGAACGACAGCATACTCGTTAGATCTCTAACATTAAAATTAAGAATCGACACAGGAAATAAGAGGCGGGGAACATATTTAGAGAAAACAGTAACTTCAAATTCATATTCTGCCATTCCAATCAGAGGCATAGACTGAACTAAATATTAAACATCTTTGATAAGAATAGCCAAAAATGGTAAAGCAAAAACTGAAATATACCTCCTGAGTATCTCTGCTATAGGTTACAGGTCTATTATCATTGTTTTCAAGGATGATGTGCCTGAACTGTGTATTAGGGACATCTTTAACTATGTGCCACTTCAGTGGGAAGAACCCACTCCACTTATCAAGCTGCCAAAAGTCCATGTTTCTGTTGAAGTCAACCTGCCCAACCATCTCAGCTACACCTAAAAACTGTCCACTTCCATTTACCTAAAAATTCAAAAGAACAGAACTCAGAACTTTTATACTGAGCATCCATTTAAAGACACGTCCATGCCCACAAATGGAAAAACATCATGTTCAGATGTGATTAATTCTTATCAAAGAAAAAAAACATGAAATGTGATAACTTACAGAAAAGAAGAGGAACACTGGACAGCTTGAACCAGTTCCACTTGATTTAGCCTCAGCTTCAACGAAGGCAGTGTCCAATTTCTTGTTACCATTTGGAGTACTTGACCAGACATCATATTTGACACACTTGTGAATATCATCTTCACTGTATGACTTGATAATGTAAAATTTTGCATTATCATACTGAGTCTTAAAATCCTCTTTGTTATACTTCTCCCTCTGAACAGTTGGCACAAGCTGATCCTCCTCAGCAGATGGTTTTGAAGGGACGCTTCTGCCGTTGGCGCGGGGACCACGAGGTAACTCATTTGTTGCCTCAAACACACCATTTCTGGTGAAATTTCCGCGTGGTTTAATTCTGTAGTTTCCATTCCACATTCTACTGTTTGTTTGACAGTTGATGGGATCATAAGGCATGAAAAAACCTTGATTTTGACTGGTGTATGATGGGTAGTCCCCAACCAGATGAAACCCCTTCATAAGGCCTCCAGACTGGACATCGGACTGAAACTGCCAAGACGGGGTATAAAACTTGTCAAAAGAAAACGAGAGGGAAACATACTCTTTCAAAGTCATCACAACAAAAAACAACAGAAAATAAAAACTTAAAGAGACATTTTCCCTCTGAAAGGAATGAAAGAGACATTTCAGCATAGATTTTCCCATTCAAAATTAGCAAAGAAAGCCATCATATAGTTATATAGTTAATCAATTGTTGACCTTCAGAGGAAGTTTAAACAGACCTTGTTCACTGGATTGAAAGGCTGAGCTTGATGGACAGACTTTGGCGGATTTGACATGGCAGTAGATGGTCGACTCTTTGGGTTAAAAAGTACAGTCGAGCTTTTGCTTGAGAAAGAACTATTTGTTTTTGTGGAATTAAAACCATTTGACTTGACTGAACCATTTCGTCCAAAAGTTGATTTAACGTTCCCGGGTTTGGGAGCAGCACTATTGGTGATATCAGCACAGTATGGCGAGCCCCATGTATAACATGGCATGGAATCTGAACCATATGAGACAGGTTGCTGAAGATATCCAGACGAAGGATAGGGCTGCTTCCCGTCGCCTCCCACAAATCCAGCACTGTAAGGATTATAGCCAGGCATATAGTAGAGAAGGGAACCATTATCTGACTGAACACCCTGACAATCACCAGATTGTGTTGAAGCTATAAGACAACAAAGCAAATTAAGATAACACAACCCTTATTGAAGTAAAACCTACCGCATTAAAGTAAGCTTGCTCATCTAACTGATTATAAGTCCCATTATATCCTGCAAAAAAGCAAATTCAAATAACACTATCATCCAACAAGTTATTATAGTTAATTGCAAAGCAAGCGCATACACATCTACAGATAAAATAAAATAGTTAAGCATCCAAAACACTATCAGATCACACCTATACTGTCCCACGATTGCATTCTTTGTACCGGTATTGGTTCCTTATATTTCTGCCGAATCCTCCTAGTAGCATGGAGAACTACCTAATTCACTACCCAGTAAAAAGAGCTAAAAACCCTCTTCCCCACCAACCCCCCTAAAGCAGGGTTTCAATTACTTGCTTTATATTTCTACTTCCATTAGCTTTTTCTTTTCCAGTGTGACAGTTCTGATTTTAATTTCCATAAAAATTGCTACATTTCACCTTTTTTTTGCACCTGATATTTACAATGAATAGACAAAACATAACGTGAAATTATAAAATGTGCCACAATTCATAAACAAGCATCAAAGGATGCAGCAATCCCCCCCTAAGAGTATTAATAAAATATGTACTAAAGATGTAGCGTATCATAAGTCAGCCCTAGTAGAATATAACAAACTCTTATCTCAGAAGTTCATCAATCAATTTGATATGTGTTCTACTCGGCATCAGTTACAGCTCTTATCTCAGAAGTTCATCAATCAATTAGACTATTACTTCACAATTGATGGAATGACATCTTACAATCTTTAGCTCTATGTATATGATACACAAACACACACTTCTCATAAAGTTAACAAGTTCCAAACAAGATTTTCCAATGCATTTATATAGGGAATAGAATCATGAAGTGGTCATAACTGGTCTGTGACCATTAAATAGGAGCTGGTCCGAAAATCAAAGGAACAATGACAAACCCAATTTAGTATCTAACCTGGGTAGTAGTAATCGCAATAGCTAGTAGGTGGATAATAAGCACCTTGCTCTGCAGCAGGTGGTTGATCAATTCCACCCTTGATGCCAGTCACAGCTCCCAAGGAAGACACCGAGTCAGAAGCTTTTCCATCTTTTTTTGAAACCTATACATGTTTTGTATTTACCAAAATGAAAAAAACAAAGAAAAATGTCCGAAGTACATAAAACAAAGTGATGAACATGATTTATATGAACCAAACAAATGCAGAAGCACAGCTGAGAACATGTGTAGCTCAAGACAAAGACTTAACAGTATTCCTCTAACCAAACAAATGCTTTTGGGCAGAAAAGATAATCAAGCCTGGAATTAAGAAAAATAAGTGAGAAGTTCAATCTAAGGAACAAACAACAAGAACACACCCAGTGGGGTCGCACAAGTGGAGGCTGGGGAGGGCGAGGTAAACGCAGAATCTTTTGGTGTCGAGACTAGAGACGTTTCTGATAGAACCTCTGCTCAAGAAAATCATTTCCAGAAAAGGTTTGAAAAAACAATAATTAAAGAGTAAATAAACTATAGTGAAATTATTGAAGAAAGAAAAATATTGACATCATAAAAATAGTAAAGATAGCCAAATTAAAAGTAACAATAGTAATTATATTGAAGAAATAAGATTAATGCTAGCATGATAATAATAAAAT